AAGTCATACCTGTGCTTTGTAGGCATGTTTCAGTGCATTTCAGTGCATTTCAGTCTGGTCTTTGCGAAGGGATCCACTATAGCAATCCCTTTTCAGTGCCTGGAGTCCTATTTTTTACCTCCACTGGATCATGTCCTGGGCTTCAAAGCCTACAGGGAGCAGTGACCCATTTTATTACACTGTCATAAAGCAATGGCCTTTCTCTGTTCCTGTATAAATAATAAATAGTAATTATATTTGTACATGGAGGCCTGCCAGAGGCCATGAGTATGAGACTTGAGATTTACTCTGAAAAAAGGAAGAAGAAAACAAGAATCCTGACAGCTTTTTACCTGGTTGCACAGCTGTGCTGAAAGAGGTGCCCTGCAGATCAAAGGGAACCCGCTCCTGTTCTCCCCAGGTGCTGCAGTGCTTCACCTATTAGAGCAGATATTAGTTATCAGGCAGCAGTGCTATGAACAGCACAAATGTGCACTTTGCTCTTCAGAGGCTAGGAAAGCCAGAAGGATGCCAGATTAGATTTAGGAAAGCACATATGGATGCGTTGCCTTCTTCAGCCTTCCTCCATTGCTCTGGAGGAAGACAGAAAGCACGGCTGTGGACAATCACAGCTGTAGAAGCATAATTGCAATTGCTGTCTGAGAGCTGCTTAGTGCTTCTGATAATCCTTGAGATCTGCAGTGAGTGCCTACAGTATGAAGGGAGAGTATTTGAAGGGAGAGTATTGGGGGCAGGGATAAGAGCACAGGAACAACTCTGCAGAATGATTGAAAAAAAACCACCTCTAACCTTTCAGTGTTTACATTTCACTGAGGGAAAAGATTGTCTGAGGCAAAAGCACAAGTTCAGAATGAAGCCCAGATTTCCTGATCTGGGATTTCAGGTGTTTGGAAAGTGTCTCTGATGCAAAGTCCTATATTGTGGCTTTCTCTAAAGGCTGAGCTCAGCTCTCAACCTCTTCACTGGCCAGAACTACAGAACCAGTCCACTGACAGCAAATTCCACCAGTTCTCTTCATACATTCAAAGGGATGCTTAGCTTCTGGGGACATAATGGGAAGGTGACAGCAGTGAAGTCTCATTTCAGTGTCGGGATCAACTATGTCTCAGAAAAACCTCCCTCTAAACCCCATACACTGCATAACAGATGGCACATCTGTTTCTATTTCCAGTATGATCTCACTAATCACTTTTTAAGAATCTAGCATCCAGGGTTAATCAACATGAGCTGAATTACAGTAAAGGTTCCTACAGCAACAGAAAAATCCTGTGCAACTCCCTTTCCTCAAGTTACCCTCTTGGATAGTAAGGTTCATCCTCTGAATTCTGCGCAAAACCTCACGATCCCTGAAAAGCCAGGGCCTCTCTCCAAAGACCTTCTGCCTCTCTAGGCCTTTGTCTATTTGACAAGGCAGATCTGCCAATAGTTGATTTTCTGTTTGGTAGTCAAACTAAAAGCTAAAAATGCATGGTACAGGTCAACGCCAAACCCCTCACAGAAATGGAAGGGCAGATTCCCAAGGAGACTTTGTCCTCAGCCCAAGGCCTATGAAGAGAAGCTATCACCCGCTATAACCCACTGCCTACAACATAGACTCAGAGCACACAGGATGAAAATTCAACCCCCTTCTGTTTCTCATATGGAAAAGTATTTTCAAAAAGGTTTCCTAGAAGCAGTATCACACCCAGCACCCAGTGTGCCAGGCAGCACCTGAGGCATGTTGAGAGAGAGGAGAGCAAGGCAGGAGACTGGCTTAGCCTGGCCGTGCCTATGCTGCTCAATAGAAGCAGGCCAAGGCAGAATGGCACTGCTGAGCTCACAGGCACCATGCCTAGAGCTTGCTTCCGGAGGATAGAATTTGTCTTGGAAACAGCTATTTGTAGGGATCCAAACCAGATCTTAGAGTTAGCAGAGAGCCCAGCAGAGAATAAGCGTAAGTTGAGGGCTGGAGTCCATCTCTTTGTTGCTGGTGATGTAGATATGCCTGTCAGATGCACCTACAATGTCAGAAACAACTCCCCATCTGACTTGTGGGCCTTCATCCTTGATTGTTCCTACCATGTTGGTTAGCACATACCTGTGTTGTCCTCTGGACCTGGACAAGCAGCTCCCTCCATCCGCCAAGCAGCACTGCTCTGGGCATAGCTACTCCAGGGACAACTTTCAAGAGTGACATGGACAAGCTCTGTCTCCCTTCCCTCATGATGCTCCTCAAGCATGGTCCCTTCAGCCTTTCTATCCTCCAGCTCTCCTGAATGCTCTCATTCCTCAGTTCAGGGCATGCAATACACCCTATGGAATCCCAACACTGGTGAGCTATAGCATTGTCTTCATTATACTGGGCATATTATGCTGGGACAAGAAAACACCAAACCTAAAAAAATATTAGTTTTCTCTTAAGTCCATAGGCACAACACACAGGGCCAAGCTAAGCTGGAGTCAAGTGCCATGTCATGCAGTCAGGGCCAACCTACTTCATGTTGGCTGGCCCTGAGCAGCCAACTCTACTCTGACACAACTACTCTCATCCACTACCTCCCAGATCCCAGGGCAGCTCTCTGGGTCAGGCAGTTTAGCCCCACAGATATTTCTGCTCTACCTGGTCCAATAAACAGTGTAAGTAATTTAGAGAACATTATACTCCAAGCAAGAGGATTAGAAGAGCCCTGTTGCAGGCTGTCCCACAGCCTGAAGATGTAGCACATCAGGTAAATCCTCACTCCAGCTGAGGCTTCCTTGTGAGATCAGTTTCAAAAAAGGTTTAAAAAAAAAAGGTAAGTAATTTTGATGTTTTTAATTTTCTGGACTAATTCTGATAAATGGATTGCGCACCAATTGTCAGATAGCTTTGCTCAAACAGAAATTGTGTTTTTCAGTGAATAAACTGTTCTTCAGAAATCATTTGATCTACTTGTATTCCCTTCCCACTGAATAACCTTCCCACAATGAATAACCAGGGCCATTGTGGTGACGGCGTGGCCCCAGCCTGGCCCGGAACTCGGGCGCGTAGCATGGCCCTGGCCCTGGGTGCTCAGGCCCGGCCCCGGGTGCGGAAAGGAGAGAGTGGGAGCTTTGCCGGCGCGGACTGTGCCCTCACGGGAGATGAGAGGGGGAGCCTCGGAGCACAGAGAAGAGATGGACAACTCTAAACCCGGGCAGATGGAGCTCGTCAGCCCTGTAAGGCCATCCATCTAAAAGAAGGTCACTCTAAACAAACCTACGTCCTGAGGACCTCGCTGCCACCGTCCAAGCTCGCTCGGCCCTGGCAGATGAACCTTAGGATTAAAGGGTGTTCAGTTCCACACATACTGTGTCTCAGCTAAAAAATCCATTGAGCAGGCTCGAAGGCCTTACCCACATTTGCATACCACCTAAGGAGTCTTTCTGCTGTGCCTTTTGCAATACGGACGGGCCTGTCTCGTATCGGCCTTTTTAGCCACCAGCGCGCTTGTAACAAATGTGGGTAGAGCCCTTCCCAAATCTTCGTTCGTGAAGCCTAGCCATGATTCCCTTCCCACTGCAACAGGAGTGGGAAGGGAAGCTGTAGGTAGTGCTTCATGTATGATCATCTCTGCTCTGGCTCTAATGTAGCCACCAGCTGGTCTTACTATCTGCCTGCTCTTCTGTTTGGAGACACCAAGGATCATCATCAGACTTCGTCTCTCACTGTGGGCAGGTTCTTCCTCAGCCACACCTCTCCCACTGCCCTCAGCATGGCCAAATCAAGATTTGGTTACTTAATTTCCATATCAAGGATTTTTAACTACTATCATTGGTGTTTCTATGTCCTTGCTTTCAGGACACAAATCTTTATGACCCCATCGGGTTATGCCATCTGTTGTCTTTTATATTTTAAACACCTTCCTAGGGACAAATATAAACACAGTAACGCTAATGTTTGTTACCAGGACATGGCAGTGGGACTTCACAGGTGGCTTAGCTGAGAATGGCCACAAATAACAGAATCACAGAATGGCTTGAGTTGGAAGGGACCTTAAAGATCATCTAGCTCCAAACCCTCATCATGGGCATAGATGCCACCCACTAGACCTGGGATGTCCTCTGAGGACAAACTACTTGGCCCTGATTTTTAACCCCCTCCATCACCATAGGCACCAGCATCAGTCACCAGGGGCCCCCAAAGCCCACTGGAGCCATAAAAGGCTGCTAAAATGGTAGCCTTGGCACTTGTAGGTCGAGCACAGCCAGTGGGGGGGAAAGCCAGGTGTTTGTAGGTGTGCTTCTTTTAAAGTTGATTTATTTTAGCAGGACTTTTACAGTGTGCAGCTGGCTGTGGTGGCCAGCAGACATGGCAGTGTCCAGGCCAAGAAGACATTGGGGCTGGTGAGGGACTCCTGGAACCCTTTGGAGACCACCTGGTTTAACCTGCTTTGGCTGACCCTGTTTGAGCAGAGGAGATCTTGACCTAGGCAATCTCCAGAGGTGCTTTCCAACCTCAGTCACTGAGTGAGATTTATTTAAACCTCTGGCATAAAGCACAGTTATTTTCAAGTATTCCATCAATTCTCAACTCAATACAGGAAATGTGGTTTTCAAGGCCAACAGCACATTGAACCTTTACCAGACTGTGAGGTCAGAGATTCAGAGGGGCTTTAACAACTTAACAAACCAGGGAACTACAAAACATGCCATACAAGTCAGACGTTTCTATGCAACAACCATATGATCGAAAGTTTCTCACACAAAAACCATTTGCTGTCAGGACAGAGTGGAGCCAAGTCAGTGTGATTCAAGTTTTTAGAGTCAATTTTGTAAAACTTCAGAAGGAGTTACTTAGTGCCACCCAGTGTTGGCAGAAAGAAAAAGGAAGGTTAAATATGGTTACAACTGGGTGTAGCCCATTGAAATAGGAAAAAAATCCCAGCTCTTGCTTTCTGTATCAGGGGTGAGCAATTCCACAGAAACTGTGTAGCACTGACGTCCAAGAGATAGGTGTCCCAGAGCTGAAATGGCTTAGCCACCTTGTTAAAAAAACTTACCACTTTGTATATTCACTTTTCAAAACAGGTAATTAGTTTGAGATGCAGATGGTCCCTTTTGCCACAAGACTCACTCCCCTAGTCTGACATCAGTGTAAGTGAGAAAGTTGTGCTGACTTTTCTGGTTAGGTGCTCAGGAGTCTAGATGAGAAACAACTGTATAAGATGTATCTCTTTCCTAGAATAAATAAATACAGTTAGATATTACCTTTTCCCCACTTTGTCTCAGATGTTGCACATGACCTGACTTTTCCTTGAATCCTTTAAAATGATACAGGATCTCATGTATATCAGACATGAAAATACTCTCCCAGTTAGGATCTTTGGATGGCTGAATAACTGCACTCATGCTTTTGTCCTTCAAAGGACTATATAGATTCACAGAATGGTTTGGGTTGGAAGAGACCTTAAAGATCATGTAGTTCCAGTCTCCTTGCCATGGGCAGGGACACCTTCCACCAGACCAGGTTGCTCAGAGCCCCATCCAACCTGGCCCTGAGGACTTGAACACATCATGGTCCCATTTAACAGCCATGGACAGTGAGATTCTGAGCAGGCACTGTCCTCCCCAGATGGGAGAGCTGGGGCATGGCCAAGGGGGGATGGAGGAGATCTGGAGCCAAGAACCCAAGTGGGAAAGCTGGGAAGGGGAAAGCAAAGCCCTGAGATACCTCAAATCCACCACATATTGGTGGATCAGGGCCTCCCAGGGTTGTGGCTTCACTTGTTGTGGCCATGGCAGAGAAATCCCTTTCTACCATTTTGGGCTCCTTCACTCTGCTCTGAAGTATTCTCATTGCCCAGAGGGAAAAAAAAGACAACAGTGGTTTGAGTGATTCTCTGCCCGTTCTTTATTTCACCTCCTAGAAGAAAAAGGCCAAGGAGAGACTGACACAGAAGTTTATCTCAGATTGATACAACAGAAACCCAACAGCAAACTGCAGAGTTAGCTGTCCTCTGAAGTGACATCACCTCCATGAGCTGCCATGCTGGCACTCCATATTTCCGGGTGGAAGGGCTCCCTACTGGCATTTTTACTTTTTTTTTCCCACCCATGAAGCCATCTACCAGTCACACAGCCAATCCCTTGGATTTGTGCCTGCTGACAACAAGTTTCCTTTCTCACTTACCTTTCACTAAGTGCTGGGAAACAGGCCAGGCAGTGTGGCCACACATTACGTGCTGAAAACTCCTCTTCGGGGGCCAACACACCTGAGGTGTTTTTTTCTTTTCTTGCCAGTCCCATGAGGTTCCTGGAGGACCTGGGAGCTGGGTTGCCTCTGCTGGCTCCTGTTGAAAGACCTCCATGATCATTAATTGCATCTGCATGTCTCACTAGGGCCCTACATATCCTAGGTGCTCTCCACAGCTATGAGAATCTTAGTCCTCCTCTTACAGAGCTCATAATTTAAAACCCAAGGGAGAAAATCACAGAAAATTCCTGTGACAACTGCTCAGCTCGTGCCTCAGGAATTCATCAAAAAGATAATTTTTCCAAAGAAGGCTATGGGACACAGTGTGCACAGAAGGAGTTGGTGGAGGAAGGAGACCAGACAAATACATCATTCTTGGAAAAAAAAAAGTATCTGTGTGCATCCCCCCAGTTAGGAAGGTTTACAGAGTAGGTTCACAATGAGAGACAGTCCCTGCTCCTGAGGTTTTACAGTCCCACCAATCAGAATGAAATAGTAGGAAGGGGAAAGGCAGAAGCAGGAGACCTGTCAGTCCCTGTGTTACACAGAACAACTCTGCTCAGTTTGCAGGTCCGAGGCATTTTTAAGCCTATAAATAAACTGGGAACGTTAATGATGCCATTAATCTCCACTGGCTGCCGTCCCAGCTATTTTCAGTGGCGAGGTTACCTTGTTTCTCCCAGCAAAAGTAGGTCTCAAGGGGAGGGTCAGGCGAGCAGTGGGGATGGACGCTTTGTGCCCAGGGCCAGGGCCAATACCCTCGGCGTGAGGACACTGCCACCATCCTTGGCAGCCCAAGGAGGAGGTGTCCCAAAAGCCAGCACAAAACAGACAAAAACAGACATCAGGTAATAAATGATGGGAAAAAGCAGAGTGCTGCCAGCTGTAGAGGGAAACCTGTGACTGCCCCTGCTGCAGCCCTATGGCAGAGTTGTCTTCTCCATCTCCTGCAAGGAGATACCCTGATGGAGACCCTCCGCTCTTCTGTAGCTGCTGGGAGCCTGCTCCACCACCTCTGCCTTTCCAAGGACAGAAAGTGGCGGGGCTCAGAGCTACAGAACAGGGGGGAGCCCAGGATGGGACAGGCCAGGGCATCCCAGCACACTAGCCCAGGGCAGGGAGTGGCTGGAGTGCAAGTCCCTGGGGAAACGAAGGCTGCCTTGAGACAGCTTCTTGCCCGGTATAGCTCTGAGGTTCATCTTACAAGTATTCCATGCTTTTGTTTCTTTTATTATTTCTGTTACAATATGCCAGGAAAAATATTATTCCTAAAAGAAAATAAGTTCACACTTACTGGAAAAAGGTGCTTTTGAAAATCAAGTCTACACATTGCTTTCCTTTGACCTGCCTGCTCAGATATCCAAGACAGTTGGATACCATCATGGAGAAATTAATGTTCCAGTGCCACCAGAAAATAACACTGTCCAGCTTTTTCTTTTCTCTTCTGCAATGAGCTCAAGATGTTGAGACATTCACCAAGTAATATTACAAAAGAATCATTCACACTCTGGTCCCAGGTGACATGTGGCTACTGTAGCTATTAGGACTTACCCTCCCTCAGTGGCATAAGAGTCAGTTTTCCAAACTTCTCAGGAAGTACCTACTGTTTTTTGTTCTTTGTGTTGCTTAGTGTTGTTTCCTGAATGCTTATGTCTACAGTGGTCTGAATGCCTTTATAATGTACCAACTAGGAAAAATTAGGAGAAATTTGGATATTTTTCTTACCTTAACAATGATATTTTGGGGCCAAAGTCAGCAACTTCTCTGTGGAAGATCCGGCCTGCTTGACCTGGATTGAAGCTCACAAACAATGCAGTCTGTTCTCCCTCAGGAACTGCTATAAAATGCATTTAATTTACTTGAGTTTTGCTATTTTCCCTCAATTATATCCCCTGGACAATCTGAAAGCACTGCTGATGCTATGGCTTCCATGCTGCACCTGCTGTTTACCCTCTTCTAGGGGACATGCAGGATATGATCATTGGTATAAACTGCAGGAGCATCACTTTCAGTAGGGAAGTGGGGGAAGAAAAGCCCCTCAGAGGTATTCTGTGTCTGAAGAAACAGCATGTCCAATAAAGAACAAAATTGCAACTGCAATCTTGCACAAGATACACAGAGATACTCCAGACAGACTTAAACATTCAACTTGACAAATTAATCAGCTTGTCAAGCAAAGGAAGTCATTGTGGTCAGAGTGGTCATGGAAGGTAACTAATACTCTCCATTTGCAGCATCAAGCAATTAAGAATTTAAAATATTACAAGAGAGGAGAACTGAGATGTTAGAGAAGAAAACATATACACAGGAGTGAAGACAGCAACATATAAAGGCGGGAAAATGGAAAAGAAATGCCAGAAATGTTTCATATTGACCCAAATAAATAACAACCTCAAATGAATTGGTTCAGGCTTGTTTCATATGGTAAAGATACAGGCTAAGCCAAGTGAATGGTCTCAGGCTAGTAGCAAAGAAGAAATTATTTCCCTAGAGCAAAAAAGGCATCTGTTTATTTATCTCAGTTATGAAAATGTCCTTGTCAGATATTGGCTGAGCTCTCTCTGGGCAGGTCACTTACCTCCTCCTAGCTTCAGAAGAGACCTCTAAAACACTATCCCTGCAAACACGATGCACCTGTGCAGTTATCCCTCTTCTTCCCAGGAGCACTGAACTACCTGAGTGGTCTCAGAAGGCACAGACCTTCCCTATGCCTGGAAAATCCTGCTACAGAAAAATGTGACTGCTAGTAGCAGTAATACTGGAAGAGATCCTTGTACCTCCCTGAAGCCTCACCTGCACAGAATCACTCTGTGGGGACAGGGTTACATTAAACGTGCCTTTCATGGCAATACCAGGCAAAAAAATTCCTCCTTGCTCACCCCATTGCTGACCCCAGAGCATGGCTACTTGCTGTCACAGTGCTTCCTTGCACCAGGAGGGAAATACCGAGGACCAGGGTCCAGAAACGATCAGTCATAAATAAAATCTAGCAAAAACTTGTTGCTGCTTAGAAGAAATCATCAAAGAAAAAACCTAAGTCAGGGAGTTCCTTGCTTGGCACATCAATGATGAGGTGATGCACTGCAGCTCAGAAGTTGGAAGGAGCAGCTAGAGAAGCAGTGGGCATTGTTGCCAAAGGTTAGCCTCAAACTATGGCCAGTGTTTCCACATTTCCACAAGGATGGAAAGAAGGGTGACAGTGTCTCAGACAAGAAATAGGTGGATCAAGGTGGGAGAGCTGAGCCCTGCACCCAGGCTTAAGTGAATTGATATATGCAAGCCCTGACTGACAGCACTGGTGACTCCAGGAAGGCCTGAGGACTCACACCTGATCTACACATTTTGGGGAGCAAGAAAAGTAGTGATTCATCAGATCAGTCATAGAAATGTGAAATTCTCTTTTGTTAATGCTGACAACTAATTTATATTTGCCTGGTACAATGAGTACAATGCCTTTCCTTAGGGATACTCAGGTATGTGGCAGTAGAAGCCCATTATTGCCTTCTGTAGGACCAAGATGATGCTGTGCTGGCCAGGCAAGAAAACAATGTTGCTGCTTTGGTTCTAAGCGAGTGCTGAACAGGACACAAGAACAGTGGAAAATGCCCACAGCTACATAAATGTGGCATTCCAGTGTGCCCTGAAGCAGCAGAGCCTCCTAGTGCTGCTGGTCTGAGTGGACTTCGTTAGCTCATTCGGGTTTCTCAGAGTCCTGGAGGAGACATTAGACAGTTGTGAGATTCAGTCTCTAATTAGGTCCCTGTAGTGGTAAGATTGCTTCCTTTATAATCACTCAGTGGGAACTAGTACTTTATCCTCTGTACTCAAATTTTTATTTCTTTCACCCTCATTTTCTCTCCAATGCCTGGAATCTCCAGTCCACTGGATGACAGCTGCAAAAGCCTATGACATTCACTTTAAGGATGATTCTTTTCAGCTGCTTCACATTTCCTTTTGACAAGCTCTTCTAGTGATATTTACTGCAACTAATGAATTAACTCACAGCTGGACCACTTGCTAGTCTTTTCAATCCAGAGCTGTTTTAAATCTTGATTAGCTGGTTTGATTTGTAAATCTCACAGGACTGCTAAGTCCAAGCTGTTCTGTCTTACTCTGTTCAGGAGACAGTTCCTGGTTATGCAGAGCAGCAGTACATTCAGGGGGACTCCACCTCTCCAGCAGGTAGAAAAACAGTGTATTATCCAGAGGAAGCAGTTCAGTTCACAGGGAAAATTATTTAGATAGCTGGAAAAGAAAAAGTCTTGGTATTTTAAGCATCTGTGAAAAACAATGCAATGCAATACATATTACATTTCACAAGCATCTTGCACAAGCGATATTACACAAATGCATCTTTCTCCATATTTTTGCAGATCCTCTTTTCTGTTTCTAGCTTCTGAGCACATCCCTAGCAGTCCAGCATTTCAAATTAGGATCCTTATTTGAGTTCAAACATGAAATTAGTCTAATTTGTATAGATTCTGCCCTCTCAAGTCCCAAGCTTCTTATAGGGGTCAGCAGGTGTTCGGCTGTTGTGGCTGTCAGGTCATTTGCATTTTGGCAACCAACTGTGGCTTTAGGCACCCGATTTTCAGCGATTTGACTCCCAATTCTAAAGATTTGGCCTGGAGGTAAGCAGCAAACTGGAATTTGTAGCCCAGAGCCTGGGAACATGCTAGTCATGTAGTTGCTTAAGTTCAGGTTGAAAAGTGAATGCACATGCAGGCTCTTCACTTGTTTGAAGACTTACAGCAAAACAGGAAGTTATTAGTATCAGAGCCCAAACTGACTTGAGAGTCAAACAATATCAAACAAAAGGTGTCACCCCCTTTTCCTGTTTATATCTTGCTAGTTTAGAAGACAGGGGAGATGAAGAGTCAAAGAGTTTCTCAATTTGGTGCAACAAGGCAGTTGAAATCGAACTGGCAAACTGTACATCATAACAGTAAATACATGGCATCTCTCTCCTCAAGACTTTAAAGTTTTTGCTGTACTTTTAAACAAACAGCCAACCTATTTTGAAATGATGGGGTGGAGCAGGACAAAAGAATGCAGTGCAATAGCATTCAAGAGTTTAGACAAAGTGAGCAATAAATGAAACTACAGGGGAAGGTAATCGTCTGCCTTGATATAATTATCTCAGGAAAACACTGTAACTAAAGAACTTCCTCCTCAGAAAGTGTCATTTGATTTTCAAATAACACAGGTCATTAGGACTACAGTTCCATGTTGTGTCTGCATGATGGTTTATCAAAGCAGGATCAAATTACTGCCAGAGTCCTGGGAGGAAGCTCTAAGGTAAAGGAAAAATACTGTACATGCTGGCTTACCACAACACAGTGTAGAAATCAGCAGAACTTGCTGGACTCATGGCCCAGCCTCATCACATCAGGACAGCACAGGCCAAACTGCACCTAGCCCCCTGTTTTCACTGCCGGTGAATACAGTATTTTCTTTCACACAAGGACAATTTTAAAAATTGTCTTTTCTAAAAGGGAACTGGACACAGTCCCTCCTTGAAAGATGAGACTGACCAGGAAACCCTGCAGAGAGAACAGTCAGCACTGGGAAAAATGGAGTGCTGACCTGTTGGGATGTGGGGTTGTTGGGTGCCTGAGCTCTTATGTGTTTTGTCAGCCACTGTGAAGGCAACAGAGCCTGGGAGCTGCCTTCCTGACCTCCATATTCTTAGAGGATTTCTCAAAAGACTCATGTTGGGCACAGAAAAGCTGGTACTGAACAGACAAAAGGCAAACCCCAAGCATATTTATTTGGTTTGACTTAAAATTGGGTAGGTCATAGTTCCCAGCATAACTTGGGTTTTCTTTAAAAAACAAAACACAAAACACTATCAGCAGGTGTCAGTTCCCTTGGAAAGGTTTCCTTTGTCTTGAAGGAATAAGAGATTGAGAGTGAAAGAACCCAGCAAATGAGTCCTCATGTGCAGAGTTATCTGGAGGTTTGGCCTCGTTCTTTATTCCCATCCTATCTTGCTGAGCCACTCACAGCCACGCAAAATAAATTTCTAGTAGGTAATCGCTCCCACAGAGTCCTACGCCCCTCAGTTTACACTAGAAAAACAGAAGATTAAATCTTTGTACTGCAGAAGATTAAAAAAATGGAGGTGCATTTTCTTTTCAGCCCTTGATAAGGTTTTAGCTGCAAATGCAAGGCAAGAGTCACACTGTCTTCTTTCCACAGAGGCTGCAGATGTCAAATAAAAACATCACAAATTTCCTTGCTACCTAAAGGAGACCTGCTGTACATGACTTGCAGGCACCACCATCTCTGACAAGATTTGTTACCTACACCATTGATGTACAAATCCTCAAGAGAAGGCCCAGCAGTTGGCTGTTCCCCAAAATGGCCTCTTTTCTCCACTCAGGTCACTTTAGGGGGCGCTGAGTAAAGAGGGGTACAGCAAGTAGCTGCCAGGCTCCCAAACAGATTCTTTTGTGGCTACAGTCCTTACTAGACTCTTTCATTGTCCCAAGCTTCACCACTACAAGGGAAGGAAAAGACTGTTAACAAGAGGGCACAGGACCACGGGATGACAACATGGATGGCCCCACCGGCTGGCAGATGCAGTTGCATGTTACAGCTGAGTCAAACAGCTTCTTGCCAAAGATGTGGTCAGCTCCTTACTGGCTCTAGTCCTGTGTTCCCACTCCTGCCTTTGCTGACTCCTACCCCCTAGAGTGAAATGCTGTTTCACATATCTAAACCAAAGAAATCAAACTAAATCAAGTAAGTCTCGTGAGTCCCAGCCTAGATTCTTAGCTGCTAGACCTTTCTTACAAATTGGGAAAGGAAGAAAAATAAGGAGAGGGCAGAGAC